TGAAGAAGAGCCCCTTCTCTAGGTCTCTCTCGCTGCCTGAAATTGTTCCATTCCATTCATTGCACAATTAATATTTTCATTTCCTTTTTTTCTTTTCTTCTTTTCTTTGTAAGAAAAAAACAAGGGGGCCCCCTGGCAATGTTTCCTAGGAAACTTGGGGGAAATGATATCGTCGATACAATCATGTACAAGGAAACGAAAATTGATAATCAAAAAGAAAGAGGGCAGTTACTAGCTAGTTAGGAGATTGATTATATTCAAGAATTAATTAGTTACCTTCCTCGATTCTCATGATGATCGATGCGTAAACTTGAATGATTCAAGGAGGAATTTGATTTCAACGTATGGATGGCGATTTGGGCAAAACCCGTGGAGGAAGATGATGGTAATTAGGGTGACAAATCATGGGGAATTAGATTAATGTAGAAAAAAATTAATCGTGGAAGAAAGGAGGAATGGAAATGTGAAGGAAGGGAAAGCGGGGAGACTGGTGCTTAGAAGACGCCGCCGGTCTGCCGGGAACGACCACCAGGGTCACCGGAGACGAATGGAAAGTCACCAGGCTCGAGGCTCGTAATTTGGTTTGGCGAATTGGGTTGGGGTGGTGCTGGTTTTGATTTTGGTGTTCAATGCCTGCTCTCTATTGTTTCCCGCCTCACGTGGCTTAAACGTCCCAAGTAAACCCCTCTCTCTCTCTCTCTCTCTCTCTCTCTCTTCTTTTGCTTTTGCGTCTCCTCCTCCTTACTTGATTCATCATTTGATTTCCTATGTCCATGCATCCTCTGATTTTCATTATCCATTCATAATTATTATAATTATATTTTTTCATTAGCTAACGATATTATTGAAGCCCCTTGGTTAAAAAATTATAGTTAATTAACGCGGATGGATACTCGATATTTCCGAGATGAAACATGGGCCCTAGTTGCAGACCCAATAGTGCTTTTGGTGACTGAGTCCTGGCCTATTACTGGAAATTTGTGGCCTGAATATTGGGCCCGATTTAGCGGCCTCATAATAAGAGAAAGATTTCATGCAAAAAGGAATTCCAAATAAAACGCAGCGCCCAAGCAATGGGACCGCTAGTAAATACTCCGTTTAATACACGTACTTATACGTACTTTATTCGTTTAAAACTTTCGTATCTGTATTATTGTCAAGCCGTTTCATTAGTTGTCGTTCATTTGACGACTCCCATAATAAACACATATAAAACCCGTATAACATGTTTAATATCCGTATTTAATGAAATAAATTATTAACATTACTATTTTTTACATATTTATTTACTTATAAAAATAATTAATTTTATATATTTATGACTATTAACGTACTATTAAACGTAACATTAGCTAAGATACGAAGTATAATATCCGTACGTATTTTATATGTAACTTTTCTATAACGTATTTTACTAACTACGATGTCGATTTTGTCTTCGGCTTTTGTGGAAAAGTTGCAGTAATGGATGATGTTCGCTGCTAGCCGTGAAAACTACGGGTGGTGTCATGGACTTAACACTCATTTCGTCAAAGAACTAAGCAAGCTTTAGGGATGACAATGAGTTGGGTTGGATTGGATTTTGTTAAACCTAAAGTCAAAAAGTCAAACTCAAACCCAAATCCAAATTCATGGGTTTATCCTTGAAAAAAATCAGGGGTAAAACCCAATGGGTTTGAAAAATTCAAATTCAAATTCAACCCAACCTACTCACTGGGTATTCGCGGGTTCATGGGTACCACCACAATCACTCATATTTGAGAGATTATATTGAACTAGAATACATGCATTAATTTTTTTGGAGCTCCCACCACAATCACTCATATTTGAGATATTATCAATCTCTACTTTTTGTTGAGATTTTTCACTATCACTCAAAATTGACTTTTTATTGCTTTACAACAAACCACAATCCAAACAAGATATTTTCCTAATAGATCAATTGATCAATAAATTTGATAACTCAACACATCAACTTCCAAACGACACATTACTTGCCTATTGTGGCTCATTCTTCAGGGGATATTTGTAGATGATGGATATGGCTAGTAGTCGGTCAGTATCCGGTATACCAGATATCGATAACCCGATATTCAGTATACCGAAAACAGATATTGTGCCCGCCGAATAGCGATTCCGGATGTTAACCGGTATACCAGTATACCGGATGGTCGGTAACCGGGCGGTCGGGAATGGCGAGGAGGAAGTCGGCCGGTTGGGGATGGTAGGAGGAAGTCGACGTTTGAACCCTGACCCTGCTGTCGATTTCAAGAAGCGGCGGCTGGCGACGTAGCTCTCTCTGTCGGGGACTACTACTGGTGGTGAATAGAGGAGGACGACGGAGATGTGGGGGCAGCATAGCTCTCTCCGTCGGCGACGGTTGCTGGTGCCTGGTGGTGAAGAGGAGGAAGACGGAGATGCCTGGGGAGGCTGTATCGATTTCGGCATCGGGGACTCCTGCTGGCTGCTGGTGGTGAAGAGAAGAGGAAGACGAAGATGTGAGCGAGATGCCTCGGGGCGGTGGTTGGGGCTGGGGGCGGCGAGATCGCCTTCCCCTTTCATATTGAATCAGAGGAGAATGGAGGTGGAGCTTGAGCGCGGCGTGCAGCAGGGGAAGCGACTAGCGAGGTCGATGACAATTTGGATTTAGGGTTTAGTTTACCCCCAATTCCCAAATCCAATCCGTTGCATTCTTTTTATAGTTAAGTTTCAGTATTGCGGTATACTTGTATACCGTCGATAATTACCGCTTAGTATCCGGTATTACCGAATGGAAAATTTCATGCCCGAATACGGATACCGCCGGTATTCGATATACCGGATACCGTCAGTATCCAGTACGGTATCCGGTAATTAGGGGTGGGCATTGGGTGGGTCGGGTGGATTTTGACCATAAAATGCACCCACCCGCGCTTAAACGGATTGATAATTTTTAACCCACCACCCACCCACATTTAGTCTCGGGTTGGGTCGGGCGGATAGTGGATGATGCGGGTGGGTTTGTGGGTTCACCCACATCACAATTTATATAATATAAAGGAGTCAACTTGCATTATAATAGGTGAAGAGAATCATCGAGGGAAACCAGAAGTTGAAATATGGCGAAAAATGTCGAATTAGTTCTTAAATTGGATAGAAATTCTATTATGAAAGAGTATTCTACAGATTGAGATGATTATTAGGTGCAAGGAACTAAGGAAAATAATTCCACATAGGAAAGAGCGTTGATCTAGGCACAAGAATTAGAGGAAAAAGTAAATGGAAGAAGAGGGGATCTCTATTTGGAAGGTTGGCTTTGAGGTTCAAACTCCAGGAGCAGTCCGAGTTTATATCTAACGTCTCCACTCTCCTCTCTCTAGCGCCAACGACTTTGATTTTTTTGTTGTTGGGTTGAGCGGGTCACCCGCACACTCACCCACAACCCACCCACCACCCGGCAGATGGCTCCCAGCGCAACCCATCACCCACCCATAGACCCACCCACTTAACGAAATTCGGGTCAAATGCGGGTGGGTCGGCCCAAACCCGCGGATGATCCGCCCGCATGCCCAGCCCTACCGGTAATACCGAATACCGGTTTACCGATTACCACTCCTGATGGACCAGGATCACTGAGATAGTCATTACGGAATAAATAACCATCGTAGACAAGGGTGAAGCCAGGATTACTTACTCAGGGGGCGAATTTTTTTTGAAAACTTGCGTATATTTTTTTGCTTTTATAGGTAGATGAAATGGGTGTAATTGCACTCTCTATACCCGTTTATTTTGAGATGTTTGTGGCATTTGAGCAACATTGCAAACAACAAGGGGAACGAACAAAAGATCATGAATTCTGAGACAAAAAGTAAGAAATTTAGGTCTTCCAACAAAACAAACCCAGAGGTTGAACTAATAAAAGATTGGCATTCGACTCACAAATGACAAAACAACACATTTTTAATCGAAGTGCAATCAATCCTTCACTACCCTAAACTTTGATTGCATATTTCCTCAATGGGAAGTACATCTCCTTTTTCTTCTCCCGCTCTGTCTTCAGAGATGCCTGCAACCAGCAATGGAGAAACAATGATCAGTCTAATCGGAGTTGGCAAAGACAACACAAGACAGAATGCAGGACATAGCTTAGTAATAGCCTAATAAGCAAGGAGCTTGTACTGTTCAAGCTTCGCAGATATAATAATAGTAGTTATTATACAACACTCCACAATAAAAACAGGATCACTTCCAGTCTCCAGATAGTAGTAACCTTATGTCCGTCATTAAATTCAACACTCCTCCCTAATTCACAATAGTTAACCATCGGAGTTACAAATCCGTGAGCTTCCACCAAAAACCATGTCGCCACCACTTGTATTGCTTTCATTTCTCTGCAAATACTTGTCTATTTCTAAGCTCGTATGAAGTGAACAGCATCTTTCTAGGCTGAGCATTCTTCTACTCCTAGTGCAAAAGATATTGTGAATGACACACGCAATCACAAACATAAAATGCAAAAGTAAGAGAGCACGCACTTGGTGCTTAGTGAGGCGTCTGCGAATAGCACGGGTCTTCTTGGGACGGAGATCCAGAGGCAACAACTTCTTCTTCTTGTAAACTTCCCTCAGCGCGGCCTTCTGTTTCTGAGAAATCACTGTCAGCACCTGCGCAATCGACAATCTCACCACCTTGCTGCCAAAGAAGGGAAAGAAATCATATGAATCACGGAAAAATGAAAAGGAGAGTCGATCGGAGAGAGAATAAAAATGGTCCTTACATCTTGGAGAGCTTGTTCGGCGCACCGCCGGTGACCTTAGCGACGCGGAGGAGAGCGAGCTCGGACTTAAGCTCCTTCAACTGGTTCAAGAGCTCTGTCTTGTTCTTGTTCCTCAACTCGTGAACTTTAATCCTCGCTGATGTTGATGTATTCACCACCACACCAGAAATCGAATTAGCGGCAGGAAACAAGACAACCAACAAATCGAGCTCACTGGAAAATGCAACGGAGAAAGAAAGAAATCAGAGGTCGGAGTTGAGTTCGCTTACCCATCCTTGTGCGGCTCCGCTCTTCACTGCGGTCACTTCCAAAACCCTAGAAATTATTCCAAGGTAGAGAAGAGAAATCCGTCTGTTTTATATCTTCCTTTATTAACTGGGCCGGAATGCTATGTAGAGAGCCCATTTAGCTGGGCTCATTAAGCAGCCCTTGAACGTCCCAGTCCCAGAGCAAGAGATGCGGTGGTTGGGTTGTTTGGTTACCGTCAATCTCCACGGGTCCGTTTCTCCTGCTGCTTTCCCTTTCCCTTTGTTTTTCTTTTCTTCCTTCCTGCACTCGGTGTCGGAGTTCAGACTTCAGACGAATTCCTAAGTGCCCAAATAACTGCCATTCCCCTACGGGCAATTCCCTTCTCCTAGCTCTTAATTCTTGCAATTTCCCCTTCTTCTATTTCTAGCTCCACCGTCGGTTCGGTTCACACGGAATCGCTCTCCGGAGCTCGGCCTGAAGAATGAAGCAGTTGCACAAACAAGCCAGCGTGAACTACCGTCGGGACGAGGAGATGCCGGCCACTCAGTACTCACCCAAGACACTCAAACACCCTAGATCCCTTCCCAGATCCATCAACTACCTCTTCCGCGAGCAGCGCCTCCTCTTCGTCCTCGTCGGGGTTCTGATCGGCTCTACTTTCTTCATCCTCCAGCCCTCTCTCTCCCGCGTCGGCCCTTCCGAGGCCCGCCCTGCCGTCACCAGTTCCTTGTCCGGCTCTTCTTCTGTTGTTCAGTCCTACAACCGCGGATCTTCGGGCATATTCCAGAGGAGGACGGTTTCCGGTCGGGTGCCTGCGGATCTCGGCCGCCGGAGGTTGAGGATTGTGGTGACCGGGGGAGCTGGATTCGTCGGCAGCCATCTCGTGGATAAGTTGATTACCCGCGGCGACGAGGTAATTGTGATTGACAATTTCTTCACGGGGAGGAAGGATAATTTGGTTCATCTGTTTGGGAACCCGAGGTTCGAGCTCATTCGTCACGACGTTGTGGAGCCTATACTGTTGGAGGTAGATCAGATCTATCACTTGGCTTGCCCTGCATCTCCGGTTCATTACAAGTACAATCCCGTCAAGACAATCATATCCTTTCTAATTAGTTATCATTATCTCCATTAATGGATGCTTATAGGCGTGTTGCGCTTTAAGCGTTCGCTTCATTTCGCTGTTGTTAATAATTTCGTGGATTTGGGATTGGGTTTTGAGATCCTTGACTGTGATTGCCTGACTTACAAGACAAATGTCATGGGGACGCTGAATATGTTGGGTTTGGCCAAGAGGGTAGGTGCCAGATTTCTGCTGACAAGTACCAGTGAGGTCTATGGAGACCCGCTTGAGCATCCACAAAAGGAGACCTATTGGGGAAATGTTAATCCAATTGGTTTGTTTCTAATTGTGACAATCAATGTGTTTTTTTTTTTCTTTCTCTTTGAGAAAGGATATGGGTTGTTCATTGACTGCAAAGTTTGGTGACTGCAAATTGATTAGGTGAGAGGAGCTGTTATGATGAGGGAAAACGAACAGCAGAAACATTGACCATGGATTACCACCGAGGTGCTGGTGTTGAGGTAACTGCCGTTTTCTTTAAATATTGATAGCATTTAAGATCTGGATGCTTAACTTGCATCCAGTGTTGTTATCATAACCATTACAAAGTTGTATGGTACTGGCTTATCTTGGTCCTCTTCTTTTTGCTTTCCATGAATAGTCCTGAAAAGTTAACCTTCCTGATGTGACTAGATAATTCGATGGACCTGCCATGGAATGTTAAGAATCCTTTCCTAGTGGTTTCTTCTATTCTATTAGCAGTTGTCGTCCTTTTCAAACCAATAATTATGTCAAGCCTACTCCTCCACTCACAAACGAAGAATGAATCTATTAATTGATAGATGTTGAAGGATGATCTCTGAGCTTTAAGTCCTAAGTAGGTTGGACATTTGCCTTCCTTCTTTAGTTTCTCACGTCATAGTAGGCGGTTAAGAACAGGTGTTCTGAGTTGTTCCCATGGTAGATTTACAGCATCAGTTAACTCCAATTTTGTAGTACTAAATTCACCCTCGATTCCTAACTATTTGTAGGTGCGTATTGCTCGCATTTTTAACACCTATGGACCTCGCATGTGTTTGGATGATGGACGTGTTGTCAGCAATTTTGTGGCTCAGGTTTGGCTTTCCTCTTTATTATTAAGCACACGTGACTTCTATGTGATGCGATCTTATCTGAAACTTATATACTAAATTTACTTTTGGCAGCCAACTTATGAGTGACCTCAGTCTATGATCTTATTGATTGTCAACTGTACTAAAATTGTTATTGGATTTTTTTCAGGCCATCCGCAAACAACCTATGACTGTGTATGGTGATGGGAAGCAAACAAGGAGCTTCCAATATGTTTCTGACTTGGTACGACATACTGCTATCTAATACTTTCTTCCGCAAACAAGGAGCTTCCAATATGGATCGGAAGCTTGGAAATTTTCTAAAACTTGCAGAACACGTGAACGCAAAGCCATTAGTCAAAGTCAGCAGATTACATTTGACAACTCTGCTAAGCAGGGGCTAGGTGAATACGCCTTGGATCCCGCTCAGTGACAGGAAATCAAAGCCTTAAGGATTGTCATGCAGTTAGCCAATCTTAGGTAGCATGAACAAGCAGTCAACTTCCGATGTGTATACGCCAAATTGGTGGTTAGCTAGACGGAAAAGAATTGCTTTGCAAGTGAAGATTGCCCCTAAGTTGTCTCTAACTTAATAGACTACAAATTATGGGCTTTGTGAGGAGAGGGAGCTGTCATGCTAACTGTCAATGTTTCAGACTTACTATGGAGTGAGTTAGAAAGTTCGATGGGATGAGTGACCCTAACATAGGAGGACTAGTGGCCCACAGTGTTTGCAAACATTAGTGAGGGAGGGACAACTGTGTGAAAGTCTCAGTAGTGCATCGTCGGGGCAATTGAGTGGAGCAGTTGTGTGTTACTGTCAGAGGAGCTTTGAGATTGTAGTCAGCGCCTTACAGATGCTCCTTTGAATGACAGGTGGAGGGATTGGTAGCACTGATGGAAGGTGTGCATGTTGGTCCATTCAATCTTGGGAATCCAGGAGAGTTCACCATGCTTGAGCTTGCTGAGGTTTGGCCCGTGACATGGGCTTGTGGATTTATTTCCCTTTCTGAATAGGATGAGATGTAAAGTGTTGCTTCCTGTTGTGCTTATGCTGACTTGCACTTTGGTTAATGATGAAGGTGGTGAAAGCAGTAATTGATCCAAGTGCAACAATAGAGTTCAGGCCAAACACTGCAGATGATCCGCACAAGAGGAAACCGGACATTGCAAGAGCAAAAGAACTGCTGAACTGGGAGCCTAAAATCTCACTGAAAGATGGGTTGCCACTCATGGTGAGCGACTTCAGGAATCGCATTCTGAACGAGGACGAAGGGAAAGGGCTTTAAGGAAGTCATAACCGTGGCAGGCACCGGAAACTATTATGTACAGTGTTAAAGAAAGAAGGGCAAGGCTGTAGCTTGATTTAATCCAGTCTCGTCATCCACAGTTGCTCTCTCTTTATCCCTCTGGCCTTAATTATGGGTAAATCCAGATAGCAAGTTTATCTGGAAACCACATCGTTTCTCGTTTCCAGGTTAATCTTCCTCTATTCTTTGATTCTTTGTTGTTCTTTCTTCGTTTATATTGCTTGCTTGCTTGCTTGCAGTATGGAACCGAACTGGAGACTTCAGGTTTGTTGCGAGTGCCAAGAAGGCTCCAGTTTTTTGTTAGGTTTGTTGAGGGGGAGAGTTGATTTTGTTTGTTGCCATGGTAATTTTGAGCTGTACAAGTACAACCAGAAAGAGCTTGCTTTATGTTTCCGAATCAGATAATATAATTTTTGTCGCGCTCTATTGGGGCCAATTTCCTGACGGTATAGCGTGAGCTTTATTAAGTAAATGATGAATGATTAATACTCCAGCCGAAGAACGAATAATGCTAGTTAGTTGCGGCCCCTGAATTCTGATACTTATTTCAACGCGAAAGAACTACTCCGCAATGGTTGGCACTAGTGATGGCAACGGGGCGGGTACCTCAATTTCCATGCCCGTCCCACGTTACTACGGGTCGGGGCGGGTAAAACCCGCGCGGGTACGGAGCGGGGCAGGTCAACCCACTCTTATATGTTGTTCAAAAAAAAAAAATACAAGTAAATTTTACTTTTTACAATAAAACGTAGGGAAAAACACTTTAAAAATGAAAAATATTGATAATAGAATGGAAAATTGAGTCTAACAAGTTGAAAGATCGACTCTAACTAGTTGAAGAAAAGTCAAAATAGGAGAAATATGTATAGATATTGTAAGAAATTGAGATAAAATGAGTCTAGAACGGGGCGGGGCAAGGCGGGTCGGAAGTAGATACCCATGCCCCGCCCCACGCTACTGCGGGTCGGGTAATACCCGCGGGGCGGGTTGAAATTGACATCACTAGTTGGCACTGGAGCAGACTGTGGTCTGCATGCATTGTTACAAGGCAATTCACCAATCCATCCACTTAAATATTCAACTAATCCAATCTATTTAAATCCAATCCATTTGATACAAATCCAATTGAATTGGTGGATTTGTGGATTGATCCATGAATTCAAATGATAAATTACGATTTAGTACCTATATTTTTTATATTTTATATTTTGGTACCTAAAATTTATTTTTCATACGAAAAAATGTTATTGGAAAATTACGTTTTAGTATCTAAAAACATTTATTATTTTAGTACATGAACTTTTCAAATTTTACATTTTGTTCCAAAGATTGGATGTCATTCGGTCATTCGGATCAATGATCATCCATATGATCCAATCCATTTAATCCAATCCACTTGATCCATGAATCTATCAATGTAATCCATCAATCCATTGATCCAATTCATTTGTCACCTCTAATTGTTACCCTTCTCGATGGCCAACCACCCTGGTGTCCCTCTTAACTCCCATCCCATCCCATTGCAGAATTCACAAAGGTTTCCAAATGGTTATTAGCGTGAAGAGATGGAGAATAGGGATGACAATGGGTCGGTTGGGTCGGGTTTTGCCAAACTCAAACCAAAATTCATGGGTTTATCCGTAAAAAAAAAAGGGGGGGGGGGGGGGGGGGGGTATAACCCACTGGGTTTGGAAAACTCAAACTCAACCCAACCCGCTGGGTATCCGCGGGTTCATGGGTACCTATGGGTTTTTGTGGTAAAAAATTTACAATAACAAGTTCCTACCAAAATATAATTCAAACATCAATTTCCCCATACATATTATCCATACATAAAACACCATTCTAGAAAATTCAAACATATCACAATTAAATTAAAAAAATCACACGGAATAAGTGTAGTGAGAGTTAGATTAGAGGAAATTAGAATTAGGGTAGGGTTTGGGGAGAGTAGGGCGACGAAATAACCGTGAGCGGGTATCCATGAGTCGGGTACCCATAAACCCCAACTCAACCCAACTCGGTGAATAGTGTACGTGTTTAAATGTACACATTTTACCCCTCATTTCTTATTCGTTTAGCTTAGTATTTCATCGTTACTCGACATATTTCACGCTAGGTTGTACTTGTTTTGATACTAGATTTGGGCCCGACCCGATCGTCGGGTTCGTTTAGTCAATGACATAAACAACAATTATAAACTTATGAAGTATTAAATACTTTTTGGTATAAAGATTAATTCAAATTATTTAATTATTGGGAAACATTCAAAACAAATATACATAATATATTTATCCGACATCCTAACCAATCCATCGACTAAATTAAACAACATGTGCATCCCACTAACAACAATGTCTTCCTTTTCACCACTAAAACATCTATCTCTATCATCAAAAAATAGTCTCGACCTTCTTCTCAACATGAAAATTATCTTACCTTGATAAAGATTAATTAGTTACTATTTTGAAGATATTAAATATTCACGTAATGTGGATTTGTTTAGAGGGGCTAGCCGTGAGATTAATTGTGTGGAAGTGTTATTTAATCATTTTGAGTTTGCTAAAAAATAATTGTTCAAATAGTATTAGATTTTATGCATTTTCTTATATATTTGGACTTTATTCATTCAGTTATATTATTAAAGAATAAAAAAAATTAGCTAATCAAATAAATATAATCTCTCATTATTCTTCCTTTATAATCCTTTCAATTTTGCTCTCTATAAACCCTAATTGTATTCTATATCCCTATGAATTTCTATCAATTCTCTCTCTCCCCCTCCCCCTCCCCATAAATATCTAATCTCAATTCTTCCTCATTCGACAATTTATTTATTTCCCTTATTTTGCTTAATTCTCCTCTAATCATATCTCTGTACTAATCAATCTTGGATTCCAAGATCTTTTCTCTCATCAATTGGTACAAGAGTCTAGTTACCCTATCATCAACACCATAATCTATGTCGTTACAGCGGCCACAGTGATCGTCTTCAACGACTTTGTCGAGATTTACTTAGTAGCTTTCAAGGATATCTAGGTGCAAATAAGCAGCAAGTATGATCTTCGATGAAGAAGGATAATGAAACTACTTTTTGGTTGTTGGCAGCGTGAGTTGGGAACTTTCCATTCATATTATGTAGTGAGAGAGCCTTTCTTTTGTCGTCTTCAATTCATTGTTGCAGCTAGAATGACATGGAAGTGATAGAGTGGTCGAACCTTGAACTCAAAGTATAGGAAGAAGTTCATACGAATTCATGTTGATTCTTCAGGGGGAATCTTCCAAAGAAGATGGATTGACAAAGGATTAGTTAGTTACTATTATTCTTGATGGTCAGAATATTTTCTTACATTTTCTCGTATTTTTATTCATCCAAGCATTCTTGCCACAAACCCTAATTGTATATTACATCTCCTTGCATTTCTAATTTTTTTCTTTAAATCCCTCTTAATTCCCAAATTAGAGCTAATCAAATAAATCTAATCTCTCATTATTCTTCCTTTATAATCCTTTCAATTTTGTTCTCTATAAACCCTAATTGTATTCTATATCCCTATGAATTTCTATCAAGTCTCTTCCCCCCCCCCCTCATAAATATCTAGTCTCAATTCTTCCTCATTCGATAATGTATTTATTTCCCTTGTTTTGCTTAATTCTCCTCTAATCATATCTCTGTACTAATCAATCTTGGAGTTCCAAGATCTTTTCTCTCGTCAATTGGTATAACAGTCAAGTTACCCTATCATCAACACCATAATCTATGTCATTAAAGCGGCCACAGTGATCGTCTTCAACGACTTTGTCGAGATTTACTTAGCATCTTTGAAGGATATCTAGGTGCAAATAAGCAGCAAGTATGATCTTCAATGAACAAGGATAGTGAAACTACTTTTTGATTGTTGGCAGCGTGAGTTGGGAACTTTCCATTCATATTATGTAGTGAGAGAGCCTTTCTTTTGTCGTCTTCAATTTATTGCTGCAGCTAGAATGACTTGGAAGGGATAGAGTGGTCGAACCTTGAACTCAAAGTACAGAAGAAGTTCATACGAATTCATGTTGATTCTTTAGGGGTAATCTTCCAAATGAGATGGATTGACAAAGGATTAGTTAGTTACTATTATTCTTGATGGTCGGAATGTTTTCTTACATTTTCTCATATTTTTAGTCATCCAAGCATTCTTGCCACAAACCCTAATTTTATATTACGTCTCCTTGCATTTCTAATTTTTTTTTCTTTAAATCCTTCTTAATTCCAATAATCTCCACCCATCTCGGTTCTTCCTTATCTTGTAATTTGTTTATCTCCTTAATTTTGGCTAGTTCTCCATTAATTGTTGTTTATTTAACTTTTCGAAACAGGTTGAATATGCAACCTATTAACACTCATTCCTAACTTTGACAACTTTATGTTTTATGAGCAGGATGCAGACTCGCAAATTGTGGTAAAAAATCTAAACAAAGGAAAGGAGAAGGCCAAGTTTCTGGTTCAGGGGATTCTGTGGAGAAAGATCAGGGTACCAGTTCAGTGACTTCTGTTGGGGTTGCTGGGGGGGAGCAGGTTGCTAAATTTGTGGATGTAGTGAAGGGTAATTCACCTGTATCTTCTCCTGTGGCTAGCTGTTCAATTTCTCAGGAAGGACAGTCTCCATCTGTTCCTCCTGACTCCCAGCAAAATCCTTGGATCACAGTGAGTCAGGCAAAGAAGAAGAAGTCTCCTGCTGCTCCTATTCCTAAGAGAGGGGGTAGGGGAGGTAAGCGCAAATGAGGGTGCTGTCTTGGAATACCCGGGGATTTAAGGACCCGGATAAGAATAAAGCTGTACAGCTTTTAGTAAATAAGCATAGTATAGATATAGTAGCATTACTTGAACCAAGGGTAAAAGTTGACAAAGCTGAGGAACTTATCAATAAGCGTTTTCAGGGTTGGAAAAAAAAGGTGGTTGGCAATGCATCAGGTCTGAGTAAGATAGGGTTGGTATGGAGGTCTGATGTTCAGTTGA